TTCTCTGCAGTGAATCTAGTGATTCCCAGCTCTCTCCTCCTGCCCCTCAGAGCTATAAGAGAGACGAGGCCATGTTTCTTCATGGCCTGCCATCTAACTGCATGGGCAAGCCAACCAACCAAATCTATTTTGTTTCATGATGATAGCATCTTTCCAACTTGCAAGTAACTCAGCTTCTCCTGTTCTGTGGGTCACGTCAGCAATCTCAACCTAGTCAGGCTAACAGGCCCGCTAGAATCTGTGGTCACCTCCCAAAATTCATTTAGTGACTCGACAAAGCTGTTTGGCTGTGAAAGCCAACTCCTAAGTCCCCAACCTCCGAACTGCCTTCCCTGACGGAAAACTGGAAGATCACATGGTGTGGTGAAATAAACAACTTTTTAAGTCATGTTTAAGTAAGACTTGCTCGCTTTCATTTATAATTTAAGCTTTAAAACACCTGTGAACCCAGGCAAAGTGGCTCACACCTGTAATCCCAACACTTTGGGAGGCTAAGGCAAGAGGATCACTTGAGCCCAGGAGTTCAAGACCAGCCTGGGCAAAATAGTGAGACCCTGCCTCTACAAAAAAAATTAAAAATAGCCAATCACAGTGGTGTGTGCCTGTAGTCCCAGCTACTTGGGAGGCTAAGACTCAAGGATCACTGGAGTCCAGGAGTTCAAGGCTGGAGTGAGCCATAATCACACCAAGAATCTTCAACCTGGGTGACAGAGCAAGACTTCATCTCTAAAACAACAACCACAAAAACCATGTGAGCCTCAGTCTTCTCATCAGTAAAAGGATAATCGTATCACCCACTCTGTGTGTTCATTATCAGAAACAAATGGGATGATGTATTTTAAGCGCTTGATTCTCAAATGCTGGCTCCCTCTTTCATGCTTATCACTACTACAACCACCGCCCAACCGCTCTGGAGAGAGAGTTTTCTGGAAAGCCTCTATGCCCAACTGGGCTAACAGGAGGGTCATGACTGCATCTGACTTAATTTTCTTTCAAGTTAAGGCTTGATTTGAGCTGTGTTTAAGAAGAATGCACAACTTGTCAGGCAGTGCACCCCATTTTAAAGGAATCACCATTCCCACCAACTTGTTTCTCCCCCTCTTTCCTTTTCCTGTCTTTCCAGTCAATTCCAGCCCCTCTCCCATTCATTCTCCCCAACCACCATTTCAGCCTTCCTTGCGGCCGCCCACTAATGGGCAAGGCCATCTCAGTAATGCATTTCTGTGCCTTTAGCTATGCCATCACTTTGATGAAAGATTTCCTTGGAGCACCCGCTCCTTCCTCAGCTGCTTCCACCCTCTGCCATGTACGCTCAGCCGCGTGATAATGCAATCACTGTGTCTGTGTGAAATGAACGGACACACTAACACAAAGTTTCATAACCAAAGCAGTCATGCATCTCCCCACCCACGCACCCCACACACACACCTGGGGCTCCTCCCTCCATCCTGCCCTGTCCCCAGGGGCATACAAAGAAGACTGCTCCCCAGACATGTGACCAAAAGGCTTAACGCAGGCAGGTGGCAGAGGAGGCCACAATACCTATTACCTGCAAATGACCATAACTGCTGAGAGAGCAGTGCCATCCCAGAGCCTATGTAGCAAAGGTAGTAAGGCTCTGCCTCCGGACCGGGCCAATGCCTCACTGGTGGATTGTGGGGTAGGAGGCTGATAGAGCGGTAACAGGGTGACCTCAGACTCTAAAAATCACTCAGCTCCTGGCTCCATCATCATCTGGGACTGTCCTAACTCAATCCATATTTATTGCCATGGCATAACTAGGTCCCCTAAGTGGTTGTCTATCTTCAGCTTGATACCTCCAGGGTCCTGGTGGGCAGGGTTGCATGATGGTTAGGAACACAAGTTTTTTAGTCAGACAGACCTAAGTTCACATCCAGCCTCTGCTACATACTGGCTGTGATTCTGCCCATTCCTTAACCTCCCAAAGCTCTGGTTTCCTTAACTGTAGAGTGGGGTAATAAATATACTTACTTCCTAAAGCATTAGGAGGGTTAAACAAGATAAAGCAAGAAAAGTACTCTGCATAGTGGGCATTCATGACAGTAATTAATAATCATATGAATGACAATAAACATTTATTGAGGACTGTGTCAGGAACCGGATTAGGTGCTGAGAATACAGAGATGAGAAAGACGTTGTCTCATTATAGAGAAGACTGTTATAAAAGCAGGTGCTAAGACAGAAGTATGCACAGGGAATATGGAGCACAGCTCTACTTTACAATTCTTCCTCATAATGCACCAAAATGTCTTTCCCTGACTCTCTGCCCACTGACCTGAGTTCAGCCCCCCAGAGCATCTCAAATCACTCCAATCCCTCTTCCACATGACAGGCTTTCAGCCTCTTGAAGACCGCAAATCATGCCTCTCCCCAAGTCCCCTCTTTTCTAGGCTAAATAGTCCCAGTTCCACTCTAAAAATAATAAGCCTACCTTATCTCTCTACATGCCTTTCTCCAAGGAACAAAGCTATATTACCGGCCCCAGCTCATCCATCTTCTCAGCACCAAGAGCCCACAAAGAAAGGAAGATTTACCTGCCCCAACCCAGACCTGATACTGAGAGAAATTCAATTCCATTCAGGATCTCCCCAGAGTCTCCCAGCAGAGACACCTCAAACCCCAGCACAGAATCACAATCCTGTGATTGTGGCCCACTTGTCTGCAAATACATCTCACCAACCTTGGCTGGACTGACATCACTGCCCAGCTCATAACGTTGAGGAATCAGAAATCTGGAGGAACATCTGAGATCACCTGCACTGGGGGTCCTCATCTCTGGCTTGATGATAGAACCACCTGGGGGGTGTTTAGTAGAGACATCAATGCCCAGGTCCATGTACCCTCACGAGAAAGTCTGATTTAACTGATCTAAGGGCCTGAGTATCACTACAGTTTTCAAAGTTCTCCAGGGCATTCTAATATGCAGCTAAGATTAAAACCCATGCATCTTAGTTCAACATTTCCTTTTGCACTTGAGAAAACAGCCCAAAGAGTGGAAGTGAATTGTCCAAGGTCACAAAACTACTTAGAGGGAAAAATAGGATTAGAACTCCTGGCTTCTGACTTCCAATCTAGTATCTCTTTTACTAGGCTACCTGGAAATGAACATTCTGACTTAGGAACTGGAATCTAAGGGGTGTGCCATTGATGCCATAGAGAAATCGATAACAGATCAAACTCTTCCAACCCTTAAAGTCCACATGTTAATCCCCCTTCTCTTTTATAAATCTTCCCTACTCCCCATTTACATCTGTACCCTGTCTTACAATGTGATGTCAAAATGCCATCCACAAAGGGAGAACTCTATTCAGTTTTCAGCCAAAAGAATTACACAGAAAAGAACCTCATCGTCAATCAAGAGCCAAAAGCAATTCTTAAAACCAAATTAAAGTCCTGTGCATTCAGCAAGGCCTGTTTAGAAATCAGACCTTCAGGTTCACTCCCCTGCTAGATAAAGGCTATGGGGGAAAAAAAAGCAACAGTATTAACATTCCAGAAATGCAATCTGAAATAAATAAGTGATATTTTCTGGCCAAGGTAATGCAAGGGTTTTCGTTCCCTATGTGTGGAGCTACTTTACATTTTAATAAATGCACATCGAGAAAATAATATTATTGCTCTGATATTGGGAGATTTGTGAACATAAAATATTAGAACTTGTCAGGAAGGCATTTATTTTCTTTTTCCTTCTTTCTCTACTGCAATATTCTTTCACCTAATAGAAGATGATTACAAAAATAATTACATCAAACAGTGGCCAGCACACACAAAATAAACGGGAAAAAATGAAGGTTATCAGGCATTGGATAACACACGTGAGCAGGAGAAAGCGCATGTCCAAGCAGGGGGAGGTAATTGCACATCAATCAAATGATTGCAGAGTGGGTGGAAAAAATTAAGGCAACTAAATGGCTGCTGAATGTTCTGATCCCAGATGCAAATCAGAACATGGATCAGAACTCATTAGCCAAATTATCCATCTCCAATATCCATGTGAAAAAGCCAAGTTCTGTGTTGGAGAAAATCATCTTACCTTAAAACACTGCCGTGCGCGAGCCTGTAATCACGAAACATTGGGATCCATAGCCAGTTTCTGATGGTTCTGGGACCCTTGAAATGATATGTATTCACACATATGCATTTATCTGGAGATTCCATGGTTTTTAATATGTTTCTAAAGGAGTTCTTTATCAAATAAAAATTAAAAGGTAAGGGGGTGGACACTAAATTGGCCCACCCCTTTCATTTAAAAAAAAAAAATCAAATAAAAACTCCTCAGAAAGCAGTTTGGTAGTTCTGCAAAAATTAAACATAGAATTACCATATGACCCAATGATTCCACTTCTAAGTATCTACCCAAGAGTACTGAAAAAATATGTTCACACAAAAAATTTACACAGATGTTCACAGCAGCATTACTCACAATAGCTGAAAAGTGGAAACAGCCCAAATGTCTAGCAGATGATGAATGAACAAAATGTGCTTATAGCCACGCCATGGAACATTATTCACCCCTACAAAGGAATAAACTACTGATGCATACGGCAACTGGGATGGAACCTTGAAAGCATTTTAAGTGAAAGGAGACGGATACAAAAGGCCACATGTTGTACGATTCCATTTATTTGGAGTGTCCAGTATAGGCAAATCCATAGAGGCAGAAAGTGGGTTAATGGTTACCGACAGGGGGACAGAAATGGCAAGTGATGGGTATGGGGTTTATTTTGGGGTGATGAAAATGTTCCAAAATGAGGTCATGGCCATGGCTGCAAAATGTTGTAAATATACTTCAAAACTACTGAACTGTCTATTTTAAAGGGGAAAACTTCATGTTATATGAATAATACCTCTTTTTTAACGAACGTACTTTAAAAAGACTATCCCCTAAAACTTCCAAGTTCATGAGACAGTTAGTAGCAGAGCCAGATGATAGGATTGCATAGTGAATGCAAGTATGAGATCAAGAAAATTAATCTAAATTGACACCACAATTATTTATTCAAATACTGAGGGAGCATTTTTTCTATGCCAGGGGTGTCCATATAATAGTCAACTACTGAGGGAGCATTTATTATATGCCAGGGGTGTTCATATAATACTGTAGTGAACAAATAGGAACACTTCTTGCCCTCTTAGGGCTGATATTCCAGCATGAAGAAGACAAGTTTCCAAATACACACCCAACTGTGTAAGTCCATCAGTGACGTGAGTTGTGAAGGAGACGTACAGGCAACGTGAGAGTGCGCAGGGGCTGACTGGGCTGGGAGGCTTGCTTGAGGAGGTGAGCTCCAAGGGGCCACAAGCATGCATGTTGAAGGAACTGAAGACCCATGTGGACAAAGGCACCAGAGAAGGACAGAGGGCATCGGCAGGTCATAGAGCGGCAGTAGCACCTACGGTTGGTTAAGAATCCAGTGTTCCAGCCTGATGGGTTCAGCCGAGGTGTGATCTGTTCCTGAAGCATCAGCCTGGTGGGGTCGTGGATCGCAGAGGCAGCATCCACATGCCAACAGCCTCTGGGAGGCTCCCGTGCTCTTGGCAGCCAGAAAAAGGCTCTGCGATCAGTGAACCCAACATGCGTGCAGCCCAGAGATCAACCAACTGTGGGGAGGGCACGGGAATGCAAACATGGACAAATGACACGACAGCCGCCTTTGGACTCTGCAGGCCATTCCCCTCACAACACCTCAGGATAAAGGGAAGAGTAGGAAACTAAGCAAGTGGAAAACAAAGGAGATGAAGTGGGAAACGTGAAACATGAAAATGTTGTCCTCAAAGTCCAGTATGAAGGAGGAATATAGCTTCCACGTATGTGTGTGCATACCAAGGACGGCAAGGAAAAGACAGACTGATGGATCAATCAGAAAGACCACCCTCGAAGAGTGAAAGCAGCCTAGTTCTACAAAATCCATGATCCCTCAAAAGGAGTTAGACACTGAAAATGTCAATAGAATTGAGAAGGAAACGAATGGGAGAGGGTGTGGTGGTAGGAACAACCGTAATAGCAGCTAATATTCACCGGGCACTGTCAGCCAAGAACGTTACATGCATTCTCTCATTTTATTTCCCCACGACCCTTCCCTATGACTATTCCCACCTCCCAGATTAGGTCTTTGTGGCTTCAGTTGAAAAACTTTCCCAAGGTCACACAGCTCAGGAGTGGAGCCAGATTTTAACATGGGCGGTCTGCCTCTTGCACCTGTACTCTTAGTCACTAACGCAAACGGTCTCTTTCTTCAAGAATCTTCATCACAGGCTGTTCAGAGGCTTTCAGATGTGTCTAGCTTCCTCCTGAAGCTTGGAGATATATGTTGAAAAGTTCCAGCTTCCAAACCCCCACCCAAGTCAAACTGCTAAGGTCAAGAACATCTTGGTCTAAGTTCCACCTTAGCCTTCTGTGACAAATTATATTCTCAGTTCTCTGAGTGAGAAGCTTCTGCCCCGACCTGCATGATCTGGGGAGACCACTGAGGCAGCTTCAACTGTCTATGAAAGAAACTGCTCTAAGAGAGATGGAGAGCCCTCCAAGAGATCTCAGAGAAGGATGGATTTCTCCAGCAAGCCCCTGCTCTCCCTTGCCCTGTCTGTAGTCCTGGCACCTGCAGGGAAGAGAATACCTGCTTCAGACATGCATAGCTGGCTCCCTCTCCCCATTTGATTATAGCACCAGTGCTTGACATTTGTTGAGGGCTCTATCCCCACAGACTCCAATGCAAACATTCTCTCTCATCATCCCACATTCCCATGAGGTCGCAGGCAGGGCCAGGTTAGTCTATCATCCTAAGTATGTCCCTTCTGTCCTTGAGCCTAACGTGTTCATTTGTGAATATGAAGCATTGCTTGGGAGACTGTTAAAATCCTCTTACAGGTCAGACAAGGAGGCTCATGCCTGTAATCCCAGCACTTTGGAGGCCAAGGCAGACAGATCGTTTGAGGCCAGGAGTTCAAGACCAGCCTAGCAAACATGCCGAAACCCCTGTCTCTACTAAAAACACAAAAATTAGCCAGGTGTGGTGGTGCATGCCTGTAATCCTAGTTACTCGGGAGGCTGAGGCAGGAGAATCGCTTGAACCTGGGAGACGAAGGTTGCAGTGAGCCGAGATAATGCCGCTGCACTCCAGTCTGGATGAAAGGGCAAAACTCTGTCTCAAAAAAAATAGTTAACAGCACAGGTTTTGGAGTCAGGTCAGGCCTAACTTTGTGACTGAAACAATGTGTGACTTTGGCCTCATTTACTTAACCTCCCTGAGCCTCAGTTTCTTCATCCGTAAAGGGAAGACGATCATTGCACCTTCCAACAACATTGGGTTGTTCTGAGGATTCGTTGAAGCCATCTACATAAAATTATCTGTGCCCACTGCATCATCAGGGTTCTATTTTTACTTTTTTTTTTTTTTTTTTTTTTTTGAAATAGAGTCTCGCTCGTCGCCCAGGCTGGAGTGCTGTGGCACGATCTCGGCTCACTGCAAGCTCCGCCTCCCAGGTTCACGCCATTCTTCTGTCTCAGCCTCCCAAGTAACTGGGACTACAGGTGCCCGCCACCACGCCCGGCTAATTTTTTGTGTTTTTAGCAGAGATGGGGTTTCACTGTGTTAGCCAGGATGGTCTCGATCTCCTAACCTCGTGATCCGCCCGCCTCGGCCTCCCAAAGTGCTGGGATTACAGGAGTGAGCCACCGCGCCCGGCCTCATCAGGGTTCTATTAAAGTTAGCTGCTATTGTTCATAATTAACAGAAAAAAAACTGACACAGTAAGAATGTGTTGGAGCTGCGAGTGGCTCTCAACTTTTGCTGCATATTAGAATATCTGGAGAGCTCTAAAACCTTGTAGTCACACGCCCATACCAATTAAGTTGGAATCTCTGGTTGTCAGGTTTTCAAACCTCTCAAATAATTCCAATATGCAGCCAAAGTTCGGACCCCCCAGAATGGGATGCGATCCAAGATCCCAGTTCCAGCTGGATTTTTTACGAGTGAGCATGCATCAGAGGTCCCCCCAGAAAGGAGCTGCGCTTAGTGCAAGGCTGTCTGGTCTCAGGCACATTCCCCTGCCCATCTCTCCCAGCAGGCCCCCCACACACTAACCTTTCACGAAGCCTCTCGGCCTCACATTCACTTCAGGTAGGCTGCAAAGGAGACCGTCCTCATACATGTCCCAAGGCAGGAATAACTCTGGTTGTTTAACCATGGTTGTCACACTCAGGAGAGACGAAAGGAAATCATAAATAATAGATGCTATATAAACAAGGTCCAATTAACCCAGACACCAGCCGGGCGGGGAAGACGTGCATCAGCCCTCTCTGCAAGAGGCTAAGGAGAGACATTAGGGAAGCTGCCTGGAGCTTCACAGGTGTGGCTACAGAGCCTCTCCTTCCCAACCCAACCTTCCCCCGACCCCTTTCCTGAGGTCCGGTCTCACAGCAGGGCACACGCACCCAACCTGGACTGGGCGGTGGTCAGCCCTTGCTGCAGTGCTCCTCCATTCAGCACAATTCCACGCAGAGTTGAGTGGGCAGTAACTTTAGCCCTGTCTCCACGTTAGAGTTTTCCATTCCCCTAGCATACTAATTGCATCACATTTCTTTTCTGCAACGAATACCCCTCTGGCCTGATTGTTTCTGCTACCTACCCTGTACTCTGACCCACAGGGAGTCGTTTGTTTATCAGGGCTAACGGCGAGTTGGGCTCCAGAGCCGCTTCTCCATCCCCTCCCCTCTTATCCTGGACACTGTTCTCACCAGGCATCCCCATCGCCCATCTCTACTCCAGAAGTGCACTCCCAGCAGTTAAGCCCCAGGAAATGCAAGTCACATGTGCCAGTTACCAGTTTGCCAGCAGGCCCAACACTCTGCCTCCAGACAGCCCCCTGCCTGCCTCCAGGAGGAGTCCTCAGCCCCTCTGGGACCACCATCTCTTAGCCAGGGAGGGCTGGGAAGAGGGCTCCTACTGCAGCCACAGGATTTTGTGGACGGATTAGTCCAGCGTGATTATTGAGCTCAGAAGAAAGCAACTTGTGATTAAGGGAGCCGTTTGGGGAGGGAAGAGGCGGGAAGAGGAGGGGAGTTTCTCAAAACACCTGCCTGGGAACGCACTGGAGGAATGCCAGACGCGCACCTCCCACAGACAGAGGAAGGGCACCAGGGGCTAAACGTGGTGGAAAAGCAAGGTTAGTGAATTTAATGAGGTGATCTTAGGCAGCTTAATTCAGCTCGATAGCCTAGGGCTAGAGGAGGAGCCCCTGCGCAGGAAGTCAGAAGTTGGGCCTGCACTAATTAGATTTCACAAATGCTGCCGTTATTAAGCACGTTGTTCCAAATGCCTGCCAGGTGGATAGGAGTCTCCCCGTGGGGGCTTCTGAGACCGCCCCCTTCAGCTGCCTCCTGCCTTTCTCTCCCACCTGTCCAGGCCCAGCACCGCCCACCCCCACCTCCAGCTGCATTCCTGGAATTGGCACCCAGCTCAGACTCCACCTGGGCCCACCCTGTCCCGCCCTGTGGGGAGGTCCAAAGGGTGAGGGTGGAGCAGCAGCCACCAGCTCTGCCTCCTGGGTTGGTAAGAAACAGCATGGCAGGCACGTGAGATGGTGAGAAGGGCTCTGGAGAGAGCTGATGTGCTTGTTCCTTGGGACCCTGATGCAATGGAGCTGGGCAGTTGCCCTAGTGCCTGGGTGGGTCCCTTTTCCCCAGATTTGCAGCTGCAGAGCTGACCCAGTAGTGATTTTTGTCCTTGCAGTGGGTGGCAACCCTGTCTCGGCTGCAAGTGCTCAGCGACCCTCCCTATTCATCTGTGTACCCTGCAGGGCTAAGCAACTCGGCCCTTCAGCAAATCATTGAGGACTAAGTTTCTCCATCTGTAAAACGGCTCATTGCAGAAGGCCACCCAGCAGCAGGGACCCAGATCAAGCTCTTGCAGTAGGGAAGCTTTGTTTTGTCCTCACTAGCAGCTGCCCTAAGTGTTACAACTCAAAGGGCAGAGGAAGCCACTTAATGCCTACATGATAATAACAGAGATCAATTAATAATGGCAACAATGGTCTTTGAACGTGGATCACTGCTTCTCTCCAGCGGGAGCCCAGTTCCTGCTCCTGAGGGACCGCCCCACCTGCGGAGAGGCTGCTCCCTCCAGTGGAAGGAGGTGGTCATGGTCACCGAGAGCCAGCCCGGAGTCAGATGTGGATCTCTCCTTCCTGACCTCTCCTCCAGCCCTTCCCCTCCCAGCCAAGAGTTCTCATATTCACATTAGAAAGCAGCCCCAGCCCTAAAAAGCCCGTTCTGTCTGCCCAAAACCACACCAAATGTGTTATGGCGACTTCCTCGCCTTGCCCCTCTGGCCACAGCTTTTCTTTCCGTACAAGGAGGAGGTGGGTCAATCTCGGTTCAGCTACTCCATCATTTCCCTGGGTTTAGGGAGTGGAAGCCTCCAGGTATTTACCTGGCTTTGCCCCCCACCCCGCCCCATCCACTCTGATGACCTCCTGGGAGGCCCTAGCTACTCATAAGCCCCACGACAAGCCCTGTGGTTGCTTCTTGGCTGCCAGAGAGAGCCCCTTGGAAGAGAACAACTGCTTAATAAGGATAAACATGTGGCATGCAGTTTACAAACCCTGGAATACCAGGCCGCGTGGTAGGCAGGTTCCGAAGCTGCTTACTTCAGCTAGAAAGCACCGCCCGGCCACCCCCACCCCTCCACGTCATCTGAGCTTCCGTCCCTTCCCATCCAAGGTCCTCCCTTGACCCCCCAAATCCCTTCCCATCTTTAATCAGTCTAAGCTTTTAAAGAAAGAAAAAAAGAGTGCAGAAGAAGGCCAGCATGTAGATGTATGGTACTTAGGGACGTTTTAAGCCCCTGCAGAGTTCAAGGAGAATGTCCCCAGAATGTGAAACATGCTCCCTCCCTGGGGTCTCTCCCCTCGCTGCCAGCCATGAACCAAGTTATGCAGCTTGGAAACTCTGACTGGAGTCCTCCGGTTCCCTCCCTGGAAGGTCCAGGGTCTCTGCCTGGCATCACCCCTGGGGTGTGTAAGGTCATCAGGGATGTGGTCTGGTGGGGATATGTGCAAGGCAGTTCCCAGGGAGCCCAGATTTCCCTCCCCAATGGCCCTGTGAAATCAACAACTTAATAATTCTTAACAGTTACTGGGTCTGTGTCCAAAGGATGTGCATGTCTTAATTTGCTCAATCCTCACGACTCCATAAGATAGGTATTATTTCCCCATATTTTACAGACTTGGAAACTGAAACACAGAAAGATTAAGTAACTTGTCCAAAGTGACACAGCTAGTAAGTGATACAACCGAAATCCAAACCCACACTCATAAACACCATAGTAAACTGTGCCTTCATAAAAATAATGTTTTCACATTAATAATACTACCGACTCTGATTTGAGTGCTTTAGATGCTGGGTGCATGCTAAGAGCTTCCCATGGCTTATGTTGGAATTCTCGAAACAGGCTCTATGAAGCAAATATGATTATTAGCTCCATTTTACAGATGAGAAACGGAGGCTCAGGGAGATTGAATAACTGACTTAGTTACAGAGATAATGAGTGGTCAACTGGGATTCCTTCCCAAGATGGGCTGCATCCCTCTTGGCCACACCATGGCTCACTTCTCCCTTCCAAAGGGGCCAGTCTGTGTGTCCTTTCCCTGAGCCAGAGAATGAACAGGAGGAACCTCCAAGCTTCCCTTCTGCCCTTTGTGCCTCTGATTGGATCCCAGAGGAAAGATGCAATGACAGGACTCCCTCTGCTTAACTCCCAAGAGGGACCATGTCCCCTGCCCTCCAGACCTCAGTCACTACCCATATGCCCCATGCTTTTCCCACCCCATTCCCACTCCCAGCATCCCTACTTAACTCAGGCGGGACGCACAGCTCCAGGCCCAGCATGACGGATATGTATGGCCGAGAATGGCGATGTATTTATTAAGCGAAACTGACAACTTCCATTAACCCAAGTAGACATTATTAAAACGCGCTGGTTGTCTCTGGGAAATGAAGTGCCCAGCACAGGCTGTGAGCAGAGCTCCTACTTGCATGCGCCAAGCTGCTGAGTGCGAGCTGTGCCTCCCTCCTGGCATCCCGAGTCTCATCCATCATGTCCCACGAAGTGTAGGTCCCATCCTAAGCCCCCACACCACTCCCTCACAGCAGTCACCACAGGACTTCTCCCTCTGAGCCTCGAGTCCCAGACCCGAGTGGCCTGAGACCTGGAGACCACAGGTGCTCCATTGCTCCCACTCCCTGCACTTGAAGATGAAGCTGCCCACTGGGCCCTGATTGGCACATTATACCTGCCTGGGATCTTGGCAGTGACTAAGGAGGCACCAACTGTAGAGGTGACTTGATAAGATCCCAGGAGTCGGTTCTTAGATATCGTTATCCGTGGGGCCCCAACCTGCTGCAGATGGGAGAGCAGGGAATCCAGGAGAAAAGCCAAGAGGGTGGGAGGAACCAGGGAGAAAGGGCAGGGCCAAGAAAGGCCACCCCACGCCATGCTCAATGCATCGTTTGTGATTATGGGTCTTTGCTAAGGTGCAGGAAGCAGTAATAATAATCTCATCTGCCACTTTGCAATTTACAATGCACTTTTACATATGCTGTTTCATTTGCTCCTCCTAAGTCCTGCTGTGAGGAAGATAGCATCAGCCTGATTTCTCTTTTGTCCCCATGAGGAGAGGGGTTCAGGGGGTGGTGGGGGTGTTAAGTAATTCTGCTGTGAGGGTCTGTGAAGTTAGCAGGTTGCAGCTCTGGGGTGAGTCTAGCGTTGCTTCTCTGAGTCACCTCCTTTCGAAGACCTCCTCTTTTATTATGTTCCAAACGCGGACACCTAGCAAAGCTCAGACACGTTGTTTAGAAGTGGGCCTTTCTGCACAGCCTCAGACACCCTGCTGTGTGCACCATGGCTCCAGGCCATGTGCTGTGGACACCCACCCACCCCATGTGGCCCACAGGACACACCTATACGCCAACAGATCAGAACCCTCCAGCCATAGGAGCAGCAGAGGATTTAGAGTAGCCAAGAAGAGTAGCCAGTACTGACACTGACTGTGAACAGCCTGGTCCTCAGTTGCCCTGTCTGGACAGTGAATTTCTCTGTAGGGCTGTGGTGAAGACTAAATGAGATATGGTATATACATTATCTTGAACAAGCCTGGCACATGGTACATGTTCAACAAATGGCAGCTCTTACTGTACTTATTAAAGGATGCTAGACAAAAATGCATTGCGGCCTGTATGTATAGAATACTTGGTTTCATCCTAGCTTAGGAACAGAATGCCTCAGACCTTCAGGGTGGTCTCCCTGCCCGTTCCTATGTGTACACTCACCCCTGTCAGCTCTGTGTCCTTGTTTTCGGTTCAGAAATACAGTGGTCATAATACTGGACACCAGAAGGTGACAGCACAAGGACAGAAGCTGTTGCTTATTCATCTTCAATTTCCACAGCCTCATGTGAAGGATTATCAGTAAATATTACTGAATGGATAGAAGGGAGGGAGGAAGGAAAAGATAGGGAGGAAGGAAGGAAGGAAGTCAACTGAAAAGTGAATGGATAATGCAAATTATGGTTTTCTTTGGCTGATCGGCCATCTCAAAACAGATCCTGGTTCCTTTTAAAGATGGGACTGTGATGTTGCTCTCTAGCCTCGAGGCCAGTGGGACGAGGGGGCCTATGTGGGGAGACACGAGTGAAAGCCTTGTACCAGGAACATGGGTTCTCTGTCCACTCCCTGGCTTCTCCCACACGGCCCTTCCCGTCAGAAACCCGGGTCAATCCGGAGCTACCAGCGACCCAGGGCCAGGTGAGGCAGCAGCCCCAGCACACCTGCCCAGGACACGGCTGCTGTGCACCAGGCAGGGCCCAGAGAAACACGCAGCCATGTGCTGCCGGAGAGCAGAAGCAGCAGTGCTGGGCACTGAGGCGTGGCTCCAGCACAGCTGCTCAGGGGGCCAAGACCCAAGCGTGTTCCTCCAGGTTCAGCATGTCTGCGGAGCCAGGGTCAGGAGGTGAGGACCAGACAGGGGCCAGCCACTGAGGTTTCCACGTGCTCCCTCTCTCCCCTTCTGTTGCCCCTCCCTGCTTAGTCAAGGCCCCCATATCCTCAGTGCTGTCTGCAGCTGCCCCAGTCCTACCCTGTCCTGCCCATGATGCCCTCATTCCTGAGACTCCCGGGCAGCTTCTCCCCTTCACCCATTGGGAATGAGGGCTCTCATCACAGGGGAGGGAGGTATTTCTCCCCAAACCAGTTGCTGTGAGATGATGCCAGGAGGGAGCCGAGGCTGGCAGGAGCCCCCCACTTGCCTGCCCATCGGTATTCAATGGGAATTTATTGTTTTAATCAAAGTACCAAGCTAAACAGGGAGTCCTGGGATTCTCACCCCGGCATGGGGCCCAGCAGCTCCAGGAATCTGTAGGGAGATCTCTAAATAACAGTCCACACAATGCACAGTGGATTCTTTTTTGGAGGGCGGCAGACCCCTCCCCTGCAGGGTGACGGTGGGTGAACTTGGAGGAGCATGTTCTAGGTTCCCTGGTCTGAGCTAGGAGAAAGAGTGTCTCCTATTGGCCTCCATGCCTCAGTCAGGCCTCCAATCATTACTTCTTGAGATTTCTGTATCCGTAACTGAGCTGGACAGGCCTACCTGCCCCTTGTCCTGCTGTGCTTTCCTGAGCTGACCTTACCACGGCCTTAAACTTTTCCAGAGCAGTTCATGAAAAGCTCCTCCCTTCTTACCTGTCCTCCCAGCCCCGCAAACTGCCCCCGACAGAACAGCAAGCTCAAACTCGGGGAAGAGGGATTTATCAAGACCGTGGTGCCAAGGTCTCAGTAAGGATCATAAATTGGAAGCCTGGCCCAGGTGACGCGGA